TCGGTGCCCGGGAGGTGAGGGGAAGGGGGGGGGAGGGCCTCAGAGATGACCATGGGTGCTCGTCCACTAACTGAATTGGTTGTTATTAACGGTGGCTGCGGTAGCGGTGGCCTTGTTGACTGTTGTGCCTGTCGTACCATGTCGTACCTCGGTAATTGATTTATTGGTGTTTTAGGCAGGGGGCTGTCCGCCACCCCCCCCTGCCCGGCTGCCCGCGGCTTTGGGCGTCGGCAGTAGTGTGAGTCCTGGGAGTGTTTTGCGGTATGTGATTATTTCCCCTGCGGATTCAGGTACCTGCCGTGCGGAGTGCTGTACGACTTGTTGAGTACGGATATGGGACAGCTGCCGTGGAGGTTGACGGTGAGGCGGCTTTGTTGAAGAGGAGGGAGGGGAAAGCTGTGTTTTAATGGAGGAGGGGAGGGGGGAAGGCAAGATGAGGGGGCGACCCCCCAGGAGTGGGGAGGAGGGGGGAAAGGAGGAACCACTTGAGCGAGAGTGAAGCTGCTGCCAAGTGGGGAAAGAGTGCTGGGCGGCAGATGTACAGGACGGTAGCAGAACTGACCAGTCGGCGGTTTTGAAGAAGCAGTCCTCGGGATGATGTAGTGATGGCGACAGCGGAAAACTACCTACCTAGCCGCCAAGGCTAAAATAAGAGCGGGAAAGGAGCAGTAGAGCCAAACCGTAAAATAGTAAAGGTAGCTGTAGCGGCAGCGAAACAGTAATAAAAACGGACGTGATGGGGAAGGGGGAGGAGCGCGTCCGATTCGGCCCAACCCGCGACTTACAGACAAAGACAGACAGACAGACAGACAGACAGACGGATAGATGGACAGACAGGTAAACGGGATCTGGGCGGCTGTAAGCGCCGCAGCACCGGAGCTTTACTAAGTGCGGGAGTAGACCCGGAGAGTTGATTCCCCGGTGTGTTTGCTGTGTACGTGTGTGTACAGACGCACATTCAGCATACTTACAGACACACAGACACACATACGACTAGATGCACGTCCGCCAGTTCTTACTCGTGGCTCAGTTCCTTCTGAAGACACACGTACACGTACATGCAAAAGCGCACCGAATCTCTCTCCCACACACCTTCCCCCCCCCTCATACATTTCCCCTCGCACACACACACACAGACACACACACAGACACACACACAGACACACATTCTCCCCCCCTCCCCCTCAGATTCACTACACTCACCCCCCAGATACGCTGATTGGCTCTTGGGACACGGGGACTTCAACCCTGGCCCAGTACATGAACTCCATAAAGGTGTGTGTATGTATGTATGTATGTATGTATGTATGTATGTATGTGCGCTGGGTTGGAAGGCGGGGGAGGCGGGTGATCACCTCCCCTCCTCCCAACTTTGTACTCCAGCAGCTAGCGCTCTTTTGACTGTACGGCAGTTCATACACCCGTTGCTCGTTGCACGTGACTCACACCGAGCTAGGGCCTCTACCCCCCAACCCTTCTCTCCCCCCCCCAGCTTCACATTATTCCCACTAACTCATGCGGCATAACCCCCCACCCAATCGACTGTTGACTGGCTTTGGGGAGCATAATTCCAACCCCCCCCTAATTCACTCCCTCGTGGTTCGCTCGCTCTCCTCTCCCCCCCCCCCCCAATCCGCGATCCCAGGAGGCTGCGTACATTTGTCGGGGAGCTGAGGGCAGTGGGGCGGTGATGAGGATGGGCAGTGCCGCGCAGGAGGAGTTGTGGAGTGCCGTACAGGCGGGTGACGTGGCGTCGTACAGGTCAACTCTGGAGGGCCTCAAGATGGCGCCTACATCGGTGAGCGTGTCTGTCTGTGTTGTGTGTATGTATGTAATGTTTTTGTGTAATGTTTTTATGTAACGTATGTATGTTTGTATGTATGTATGTGCCCCCACTGTCCTCCTTTGGCGCCCACCCCCGCTGAAAGCCCCCACTCACCCCCTCTTGCATCATGTGTTTCCCCCTCCTTTCCTCCCACCCCTCGCCCCCCCGCAGCGCCAAGGCCAGCCCCCCAACATCCCCGTACGACTATTGCTACGGCGGAGAGCTCCCACACCCGCTCCCATACCTACACCCACTTCGGGCACCACCACCATCACCACCATCCCTGCCGCCGGCCCCTCCGCCCCCGCCCGCAATCACAGCGGCGGCGGCGCTGGCCCCGCCCCGAGCCACAACTCCGCCCCAGGGGGAACACCTGCCCCAACTGCTACAACCACCACAACCACCTCCGATACGGGCCCCATATCGGGGACAGTCACATCGAGCTCCATACCCGGGCCCGGGTCCGGGTCGGGCTCGAGGCAGCAAACCCCAACCTCAGCAGCCTCTTCCGCACTGCCGTACACACCAGTCGTACATTCATCCGGGGCCGCCACCGGACTTCCTTCTGCTCCTGGCAGCTCTGTTCAGACCCAGGGTTCTGGGTCGGGGGGGGGAGGGGGAGGGGGAGGGGGGTTAGGTCCAGGGTTATGGGAGTCCTGTATCCTGGCCACCAGCCGACCCATACCCGCACAGACGGGTTCTGGAGGCGGGCTCACCACGCTGGGGCACATGCTGCATATGGTCTTGCCACACATCTTCCCACCTCCTCCACCTCCTCCACCTCAGCAGCAGCAGCAGCAGCAGCAGCAGCAGCAGCCGGTATCGCAGCAAATACCTCAGCCATCTTCCTCTTCATCTCCGTCACCGTCTCGAGGAAGAGCTGCGACGGCGGCGGCGGCGGCGGCGGCAGAGGACGAGCCGGTCGGAAGCTGCGGCGATGCCAGTGGTGCAGCAGCAGTAGCAGTAGCAGTGGCAGTAGCAGTAGCCGGTACAACGGGGGCATCAGGAGGAGGAGGAGGAGAGGGGGGGACAGTTGAAGGGCCGGCTACGGTGGAGTCTGGGGGCGTGGGGGCGGTCCCTCAGGCCGCTGTGGGGGATGGGGAACAGCCAGAGGGGGGTTGTACGGCGGTGGCGGACGGTGGCGGCGGCAGCGGCGGCAGGGCCGGCTCGCCCTGGCGGCACGTGGCGGCGCCGGGCCGTACAGAGCCGGCGGAGGCGGACATCAGGGGGGGAGGGAATGGTACAGTTGGAGCTGTGGGTGATGAGGATGAGGCAAGGCGGATGAAGGCCACTGCGACAGGGCGGTTGGAGGGCGCAGATGCCACGGCTGTGGCTGCGGCTGCCGGGCCGTTGGGGGTTGGTACGGCTGCGGCGCCGGGTGGGGGTACGGCAAGTCGTGAGGATGCGGGAGGAGGAGGGGTTCAGGACTGTGGAGGTACGGCAGAAAGGGCCGGCGTGACGGCGGGGAACGCGGGGACGGTACCGTGGCCTTCGTGTCGAGTGCTGGTAGGCGGGATAACGCCACCGCTAGCGGCGCCGATTGCCTGGCTGCATGCTGCGATGCACTCGCCCGATCTGTTTTTGTACGTGGTTGTACGGCTGGATTTGGAAGGTAGCGGTTGGGAGGGCGGGTCGCTTGCCACCGCAGTGAAGGTGTAACTTCAGGTTGGAAAGGGATCAATGAAAGGAGTCTCCTTTTTAAGTGCTGGAGAAGGGTTACCGGGTTTTTGGCGGAAGGCGAGCAAAGCGAGCAAGTGCAGGAGCGGTCATCTTGTTACAGAAAACAGGAGGAGAAATTGATGGAATGAAGGCGGGGGGAGAATTACAACTGCGCGGCGCTGCAGAATGCGGCTATCGTCAGGAAAAGTCAGGGAAACAGTTGGGTTTCCCTCCGAAACCTCTAGATTGACGAAAGGTAATGATGAGGACTTTCAGCAATACAATTTTCCTGTTATCTAAACATCAACGCCAGCTCAAGTTTGGCGTATAGCAGTTCTCGTTGTACGGCGGCAGCATATGCTCGCGCATTTGTGGGTTATGGGAGCATATGTCCAGTTAGGTGGCAAGTTCATAACTCGTTGGCAGCTTGTGACGTGGACGAAGGCGCTGCCACTTAGAGCAGCCCGTTAACGTGGATTCTGCGATCCCTGCTATTTAGGAAACGAGTGAGCTATTACCCGCCAGTAGCCATGACAGACTCCGCAAATAAAAGAACATATTACAAGCGGGTCCTCCCATCCCCACCAGCGATATCGTTTTCTTCTGCCGAAGGTATAGTTTCTCTGGTTGTTACCGTTTCTCCTGGATGCCGCTCATATAGGCTCCAGTTAGTAGCTTTGAACTATTATATATCATGGGTGTGGAATTGCTTTAACCGGGTGTTACAGTGGTTGGTCTAATCCCAAACCGTTCTTGGTTATTTTGACGCAGGGCGCCAGATATTTTCCGAAGCCCTGCCGCATGGCACCATGGTTGGCTTCTTCAAGCTCATCGAGCAATTCACGTGCGTGCTGTTCATCTAAGGATTTAGTAGGGCTTTGCGCCTACATCATGGCACATCATCGCACACGTAGCTGAATCGTATTCAATTTCTCTTCCAGACATAGTCACGTATGAAAACTCGAAATGGTTCCCACTATTCTTGCCGGCAAGCAATTGGCCAATTTGCATACGGCATGCCCAAACTCGCTGCCATCGCAGCCAAATTCCCACGCCTTACGCTTCCAACGCCCAATCCCATCCCCAATTCCCCAATTCCCCAATCCCATCCCCAATTCCAACGCCCAATCCCATCTCTCCCCGTCTCTACCTCCTCTTTCCCTCCAGCACCCAGGAGGAGCCGCAATACTGCGGTCTCGCGGCGCTGTCCATGACGCTCAACGCCTTGGGGATTGACCCTCGCCGCACATGGAAGGGCGCCTGGCGCTGGTTCTCCGAAACCATGTTGGACTGCTGCAAGTCCATGGAGGAGGTCAAGAAGGAAGGAATTACCCTCAGCCAGGTGAGCCTGGCAGCTGCAGGTTCGGGGATCAATTACATCAACGCGAATTTAGTACTTACCTGACACCCATTACACCTTTGGAAGGTATCGCAACGCAAGGCGTAACATACACGTACACACGGACATACATAATTACTTACTTACATATATACATATATGCATACATGCATGCATACACACATCTCTGGCCCCGGACTTGTCTGGCCGATCGTAGTGCAACTTGCATACAGGGTCAGTACAGGGGGTTACTGCTCGGGCCCACATCGGCCTCTAAACAACACCCCCTCTTCCAACTAGTACTTGTCGCGGTCTCTGTTCCCTCTACACACGCAGCCATCTCCTCCACCATCCTCCCCGATTCGGGCGGCAGTTGACAGTTGGCAGTTGATTGATTTGCTTCCTGCGTCGTTATATCATTATTATCTTATGATTTCCCTGATCGTTGTACTCCCTTATCCCCCCTCTTAACCCCCCCTTCCTAACCCCCCCTCTAGGCTGCCTGTTTGGCCCGCTGCAACGGTGCTGACGTGTCCCTTCACCGACATGGCAGCTTTGACGGGGCCACCTTCAGGCGGCTGCTGAGGGAGGCGTGTGCCAGCGAGGTAGGGGGGAGGGGGGGATACGGGAAGAGGTTTTTTTTTGGGGGGGAGGCAGAGTTTGAGCGTGAGTGTGTGGCACTGTGAATGTGAGATTGCGACCGAGTACGGCAGTTGCTGATCGCTGCTCGGTGCCGCGGCTCCGTGCCGTGCCGCCATTGTGCTTCACCCAAGCTGCGCCAAAGTATACACATGCACATACATACGCGCATACACACGCGCGCAAACGCACAAACGGACATGCATACAGACCGCCGGGGGCGACGGAACAGACATCGGGATTCATGACCCGGTACCGTTTTGATGTCCATGACGTGCTGCTGGGAATGTTCGGGTTTTTGCTCCCCCCACACTAACCCCTTCGCCACTTCTCCCGCCTCCTCCTGATCCCCCCTCGGCACTTAGTACGCCCTCCCGCTGTCCCCCTCCTCCTCCTCCTCCTCCTACCCCGGACCCCAGGACCGCCACATGGTGGTGTCGTACAGCCGTAAGGCCTTCAAGCAGAGCGGTGACGGGCACTTCAGCCCTATCGGCGGTTATCATCCTGACCGGGACGTGGTGCTGTTGTTGGACGTGGTGAGAGCACGAGGGGGATTTGGGGGGGGAGGAAAGGGCCGGGGGGAGGAAAAGGGGAGGGAAGGGAGGAGGGAAGAAGGGGGGGATTTCTTTGCATTCCGCACCCTCACCCGTACATACATACGCGCAGACATACACGCACAGGGGGTGATAATGTCGCCCCTGTCCCCTTCGACCTCCCCCGTGGCTAGCATCATCTTTAGGGTTGAGCCGTCTGCGCGGCTTAGGACACGTTGAACGATTTCCCAACCCCACCTCACCTCCCACCCCTTCTCTCTCAAGTCTCTCTCCCCCTCTCCCCCTCCCTCTCTGGGGGTTTGGGAGGAGCACTTGCATACCGACAGCTTATCATTAGCAGCTAATCAGCTAGTTCTCCAGGCCAGCAGCAAACTTTATTCCAGCTTTACGACAGCAGTGCTTTACTACTTCTCCGCCGCCTCTACACCTACTTTTCTACCCTACTTCTTTACGGCTTGGCATTACTGCTTTTCCTGCTTTTTTAGTCCTGGCGGCTTAGGTAGGTAGTTTTTCCGACATCATCTTCACTTCGTCATCCCGAGGTCGCGGTCTTCACGGACGCCATTCGGTCAGTTCTACGTCTGGTACACTCTTGCCCTGGCAGCAGCTTCACTCGTTTGTGGTTCGTCTTTGCTCCCTCTCCCCCTCCCTCTTTCAACCCCTTCAGGCCCGGTTCAAGTACTGCCCGCACTGGGTGGCGGTGGATGAGCTGCTGGGGGCCATGGGACTGCTCGACCCGGTTACCGGTATGTGGGGGGATGGGGACGGGTGGGGGAAGGGGGAAGGGGCGGCTACGTACTGGTTCCGGCGCCGGTTGTGCAGCTAAGGTTTCCCTGCAGCTGGTTTCATGTGTCTGGGTTGCCGGTGGTCGGGAGAGGGAGGAGGGATGGGGGGAGGGATGGGGGGAGGGACGGGGGGAGGGACGGGGGGAGGGATGGGGGGAGGGATGGGGGGAGGGATGGGGGGAGGGATGGGGGGAGGGATGGGGGGAGGGATGGGGGGAGGGACGGGGGGAGGGATGGGGGGAGGGACGGGGGGAAGGACGGGGGGAGGAACGGGGGGAGGGACGGGGGGAGGGATGGGGGGAGGGATGGGGGGAGGGATGTTGCTCTGTCTGTTAGCACACCCTATGATAACGCCCTCGTGGACTTTAGAAACCAGGCTGTACAGCGTAGGACGGGGAGCGGGGGATTGGTGTGCCATAGAAAGGAGGGCGCTGTGTGTGTGTGTATGAGAAGCGGGGAACAGAGGCTGTGCTGGTGAGAGTAGACACCCCCATCAGGTCGACTTGGTTCACCACCAGTTGGCATTTTCCGTCACAACCCGAAATGATCCTCCCTTAATCCCCTCCCTCTCCCCCCTCCCCCTCACCCCCGTCTGGTACACTCTTGCCCTGGCAGCAGCTTCACTCGTTTGTGGTTCGTCTTTCCCCCCGCCCCCTTCCCGCTCCCCCCCGCTCCCCCTCCCACTGTCAACAGGTCGCCCGAGGGGCTTCCTCCTCCTCAGCAGTCGGCAACCCAGGGAATCCGCACTGCTTGAGATAAATCCGGATCTGGATATCATGAACGAGCCCGCAGTGGATCCGGGTCCAAAGCCGCCCTTCCCGGTCGTGGCGGCGGCGGCGGAGGAGGGGGCGGTACGGCTGTACGATACGGGGCGCCGGCTGGAACCTGCCCTAACGCTACAGCGACCAGACGGCACCATCCTCGCAAGCCCCTTAGCCCCCGCACCCGCACCCACAGCAGCAGCTGAGGTGGAGCCCGTGTGGGCCCCGGCTTACCGCTTCATAATGGTGGAGGGACCTGCGTTGCTGAGGCGGCAGCTGAGCAGCAGGACGGGGGGAGGGCGGGGGAGGGCGGAGGGCGGTGCGGAGGGGGGCCGGGGCAGTAGTGGTGCAATGGACCAAGGGGGCGGCAAGGATGGCAAGGATGGCGAGGAGGAGGAGGAGGAGGAAGAGGGAGAGGGAGAGGGAGAGCAGCACGAAGAAGGGAAGGTGGCAGCCGGAGGCGACGGCTGTACGGCAGATATTCCTACCCTTGAGTCTCTTGTTGGGATGTTGGTGGATGCGGCCCCAATGGAGAGTGTGTGTGCGCTGCTGAGCAGGAAACCGACCCGTGGGTCATTTGGAGAAGCGGGAAGGCTGGGGGAGGCACCTTGTTGTGGCTGCTGCCTCGGAGGGGGAAGTGGCCCTGGGTCCGGGGGCGGGGGCGGGGGCGGGGATGTGACGACGGCGACGACGACGACAAGGACAGGGGGGACAGCGGCAGTAGTGGCATCATCGGGGGTGACGGAGTGGGGGCCGGCTACGGAGGGAAAGGAGCTGTTTGCGGACAGAGTCGCTGCTCCGGGTGCTGGAGGTGCTGGAGGTGCTCCTGGTGCGGCGGCGATGATGTCATCGTCCTCGACTCTTCCCCCCCCCGGTGGCCCCCGGCCGCCCGTGCCTTGTGTGTCCCCCCCCCTCTCCTCCCTCTCCTCCCCCTCGCCCTTCATAAGGCCCCTGGCGCCCTGCAACAGCTCCCAGC